CCCCAAAACCCCAAAACCCCAAAACCCCATGAAACTAAATTTTTATAGTAATTTTTCTGTAATATTATAACAATTAAAATGAGTCTAAACTAAAATGATTAACATATTCAGCACAAGTAACAATCCTCATAATAGCTGGATATAAAAAGCACCGAGATTATATAAGATCCCTTTCCAATCTAAAAATACAATTCATTGTAACCAGTCACAAAATAAGCAATTGATAGTCAAATCAGAGCTTAATCACCTCAACTTTAAACATTACAACAGCAATAAAAGTTGAAAGACAAAATTTCCCCTTAAACAAAAATAATACCATCTTAATAGCTGTATACCTAGGGCTAAGGCTAATCATAAACAAGGAATAGCATTATCAATAATTAAAGCTTGACATAATAATACCTAACTAATCCTAAGTTTGTTCAACCCTATTCATAATCTTAAATTAATCAAATTGTCCCAACAGCCATTGGTTTTAACCTCTAAGAAAATTAATAGTTTGCTAGTAATAACAAATTTCTACCTAGAAAGAAAAAATCTGTTGTGAGTAATAGCAATAATAAGCTAGCTGTTACTGGACTGCACTAAAACAACACCTAATCCTTGAATTAAAATTTCGATTTAAACAGTTTAAATATTGTATCAAACTAAAATCATACTCTTCCGATGATGACTCCCTCTGCCAATCTGGGAGGTTAGATATAAAGTTTACTTTCTATATCACCTGGGAAGCTAGAAGAGGTAAAAACCAGTAAATCAGTTTCTAATAAAGCGTATATGCTTGGATAATCATAAAATTCATTGGATGAATCTTCAAAGAGAAGTTTCAATCAGAACTATCTCAAGTAGGTACAGAAAATGAGTAATTAAAAGTCAGTCGCAGAAGTTGGTAATTTAATATCTAGATTTGGAAAAAATCATGTTTAGAACACCGAAAAGGAAAATGAAAGTAGATCATATAGCTAAATTCAAAATAGCGCTAATTCTAGTTCAATACAACCTAATGAATTATTTGAAAATATTGAACCAAGTCCAAACTTAAGAAACATGATATAGAGCAAATTATAGTAGCATTAGAGGAATTAAAATTATTTAAGAAAATCAAGAAATTCCGCAGACATGTATAGCAATTAAAAGGCAAACACTGTATAATAGAGTAATACAATCAACTCAGGCATGGGTTAAGCAAATTATTTTAGTATAAAAACAAAATCATCTCGAAATTAAGCTGGATTGCCAAAGAGTAGTTTAAGTTGGAACAATAATGGTAATTAAATTGAATCATATTTTAAATAGGATCAGCTGGGGTTTAAGGTAAACTATTCTAAAGCCTGAGAAATGAGTTGTCTTGTATAGAATAAGACAGTTTTATATTATCCAATTATGAACCAGCAAAATATTCTAACAAAAGAAATGGAGTTATTACAGCCTATGGTGCTAATACAAATTAAGGTATAATCAGGTAATTCTTATATTTTTAATATAAACTAGAAATTACAATGAGGATCGAGTAGCGATTATTCTAAATATTATGAGACCTAAGAGTAAGGAAGGAAAAATAGATGAGTGGCCTAAATGTTCATTTTTCGGTATATATGATGGACATGGGGGAAATTAATGTGCCGAATTCCTCAGGGATTATCTTCATCAATTCGTAAATATCATTAATTTAACTATCAAAGATCATTAAAGATGACAACTTCCCTTAAAATCCATTGAAAGCGATTAGAAACGGCTTTAGAGAAGCAGAAAAGCTGTTCTTAGAGTTTGCTGAGAAGTAAGATTAGGAGGTAGGAGATATCGACAGATCAGGGTCTTGCGCTATTGTTCTTCTAATAATAGATGAAATGTGTTATGTTGCTAATGTTGGAGATAGCAGAGCAATAATGTCTGTTGATGGAGGTGAGAAAATATACGGTTTATCAATTGATCATAAACCAACAGAAGAAGCAGAAATGAAAAGGATTACAACAAATGGTGGCAAAATATATTAAAACTCAAGCGTAATTCCAACTCAAAACCCTGCTTTCAAAGGCCAGTAATAAGTAATCTATGGACCTCATAGAGTTTTCCCAGGAAGATTATCAGTTAGTAGAACTTTTGGAGATATAGAGGCAAAGTTTGAAAAATATGAAGGGAATCCAAAAGTTGTTATAGCAGAGCCAGATATAACTGCATTCAAGATAAACAAAAATTTTGATTACATTTTAATGGGTTGTGATGGAATATTTGATAAAATCGAGACAAAAGATTGCATCCATTTAATTTGGCAAAATATCCAAAACTAAAATAACTAAAAAACTGAAGAAACATAGAATGGGGAATAAGAAAATTCTTAATCTATGGATGTTCATAAGTAATGTGGGTTAGCTGTTGACTCGATACTAAAAACATCAGCATTAAGAAAGGCATGCGATAATTTGACAGCAGTCATAATTGCTTTTGATAATTTTGAAAGCTTAATCAATAATTACAAATCAAATGAATAAAACTAAGATTATGTCAATGAAGATACTATAGAGGAGATAATGCTTGTACCAATCCCTGAACAAAGTGATGAAACCATGCAAATAAATGATATTGGAAGTATGTCATCACCAATAAAAAAGAATGATGTCATTTATCTCCATCAAAGTGATCCTTTAAATAATTCAAACTAAAGTGATAATGATAATAGCTTATTTTCTGAGGATATGATCAGCAACCCTAAATATGTAAACAACAATAAATAAGCCTACGCTTAATTTAGATTGAGTAATAATAATAATAACCACAATATGCTTAGTGAGATTTCTGAAGAGGATGATATATCAATGCTCTCTGAAAGAGGAGGAATTCTATCAACTGGCAAAAAAAGTAAGGTCAATTCTAAAAATCCATCTTAGCAACTGTCAAAATAAAAGATGGCAGGTTTAATATATTAGCAACAATAAATGCCAAATCAACAAATCTCAGAGTTTCAGTTATCTTAAAAACAGCCACTTATTCTTTCAACTCATCAAATTCAGAAACCACAGCATGAACAACAAATTGAAATGATTTAAAGACCTTCTAATTAGTAAGATGCTCCGCTTTAAGAACTTGAGACACTTAAACTAAACCCTCTCAGATAATCTTTTAATCATAAAACTAAAACAAGGTTAAGTGATTAAATTAAAACTACAAATGGTCAACCGTACATGCATTTAACATCTTCTAATATAACAAACAATAATAACGTTGTTTCTTTCATCAATACTAACCTTGGAGATGTGCCTGCTTAAAAGGTTTTAACGCCTAATTAGACTACTAACTCTAAGATTATAAATAAAAAATAAGTTTCAAGGAATTCTTTAAGACCTACAAATTCACTAAAGGCCCAAACATAATAGGTGGCAGGACTTTTGGAAAGTCTAAATATTAACTCATAGACTCTTACACAAAATATTCCGAGCTCTAATCTATACTCAAATCATACATTAACTACTATAAGACCGCTTTCCAGTTCTAAAAAGAGAGCCTCAACTTCAAATGGATTTAATTCGACAAATAACTAAAAAAAGGATCAAAGAATTTTATTAACTGGAAATCAGATCTAACCTATAAATAACATCACCACTGTCTCTTCGTTTTAATCATAGTCAAAACCAATTTTTGAATCTAATAGGAAAAATAGTTCTTCAGGAGTTACTCAGAATCCTTCAGTATAGAAACTATAAAGGATGCATATAAATACGATAAATAATCCTACTATGTAGCATACTTAGCAGGCATATATAGCTAAGTTAAGTGGTTCTTAATCTTAGAATTCATAATAAAAAACTGTCGTTCAATCATCTAGAAACTAGCAGATGAATAAAGTGAAGAGATGGTAATCTTTAAATAGAATTAATGGTCATTAATATCAGACTATTCAAAACACCAACAGTGTTTTGAATGCTAATCATAACGTCTTGGAATTAAAAGATTCAAACTCAAATCTATTTGATGAGGATGACGATTAGATCAGCCAAGAGTGAAAAGCACTTATAGCTATGTAAATGATGGAAATTTTAATAAATTTATAGCAATAAAAGTATTTAACTCACACTTTAGTCTGTATTTTTCTTTCGGGGTTTTGGGGTTTTGGGGTTTTGGGGTTTTGGGGTTTTGGGG